GAGGTAGTCTGAGCCTCTTCCACACTGAATGGAAGTATACTCTGCCAGCAGCTCTCCACCTCCAAAATTTCAGGAAGTCCTTTATGCTTTTAAAGAGTCATAATGGGAGTTTAATAACACAGAAGCTGAAGGGTACTCTCTCTAAACACCTGGGATAATCTTAGTTTTGGATTCTTCCGGAGGGCAGGTGCAGCCTATCTACAGGGAAACTAAAGCAACTTTCTTTGCATATCAGGTGAACAGCGTTATTGCTCAGTGTAATTCTACCCATGGTGAAGTGCTGCTATTAAGTATCTTATGTCAGTCCCAGAGTGGGAAATAATAATAATAAAAAAAAACAGTGCTGCAATATCTGGTGAAAGAAGGTGCATCTTTAAATTTATTAGGCAGTACGAAAGCAGGCAGAGAAGAAAACTCATAATGTTCACTTAGAAAATCCATCTGAGAATTTGTTACAAAAGAACTGCTCCCATTGGGAAGGTAACTTTCTCAACTCCTCTAAAAGCTGTAATACCTATCTTTTGTTTAGCATTTCCTCAGTGATAGGTAGTCATTTTGAAGGTGCTACAGAATCTGTGGTGTGCAAGATGACTGCCTGCCTGTTTAGTGAAACGGAGGAGCGTACAGGTAACTTTGGATCTTGGCAATCCCAAACACTGGGTGTTAGGTACCCACAGTCCCAGTGACACTGCGATACAAAATTTTATACACAACCATCAATCAATAAATGGTCTCTTATCTAACTTCAGTACTGCGCACTGGGATTTGATTCCTCTCTTACATTAGCATCTATGCCTTTTCCAGCAAGACAGAAAAATACTAATCCCGGTTTAAAATGACTGAGGTAGAAAGCTAAGTGACCCCCAATCACCCAAATCCAGGCCAATATGCTAATGGATGATTTGGGGACAAAGTACTATCATTAGCATTTCAATTTCTTAGGGACACGTAAGATGACTAAAGTAGTTCAAGCTTTTGCTGCTTTACATTTCAGACAACAACTATTTTTGTCAATTTTCTGAGTAACTGTGTGGAATTCAAAGAAGTTGGTTTGATGTTAAATTACAATGAAGAAATGCAAATCATTAACTCACCTCAATGTCAGAAATTAGATTATGCATGCAGCGGAAGTTGTGGAAAGGGGAACTTCCACACGGACGCTAGCAAACTGCAGTAAACCAGCAAAACCACAAGGATTTGGGGAACCTGAATAATTACAATTCCCAGGTGTTTTCCCTAAAATGTGAAACTCTGTGCCTCAGAGTACAGCTTGCATTCTGGAAACAAACCCACATTCAAAATCACCTTTGGTTTGTATTTTTCTGCTCCATCTCTCAAAGCAAAAGTAACAGTGTAAAGAAAAATACTACTGCAACCAACCATGCATTCTGTTTCCATCAAGGCTGAAGAACTGAGAACAAGAACTCTCTCCAGTGGTATACTAGCAAACGGGCAAGAGTCTCCAAGACTGATCTTTGAAACAGTTTTAGTCTTCTGAAGTGTTCAATCCACTTCCAAGATGGATACCAAACACTATGCTTGCACCTGAAAGGTGAGCTGGAGATCCAGAGGCTGGGATTTTAGTGACATATGCCCAGCTCCAGCAGGTAAACGTCAATGTAAAGACCCCTGGGTGGTGGCAACTTGCATCACAGCTACTGGCTGGCCAGCAGGCACAGCAGCAGTCCCACTCCTGTGCGGCAGGCAGTTCTCTCGGAGAAAGCACATATCTAGCATATCTAGATAAAGAAAAGGAGCAATAAGACCCCTCCACTTTTTTTTTTTTTTTTTGGTTGAGCTGGGAAACTGTGTGAAAAATTCATTTTCTAGAAGATATTTTTAAAAGCTTCATTCTTCAGCTGCAAACTGACATTTTGCAGTGAAATGTATTTTTGTACTGTCTAGAAATTCATTTTTTCACATTTCTCCCCAGAGGCAATGCCATCCATGAAAATTCCAACTGTGCCAGTGACATTACGGTGTTAAACAACTGGCTTTTTCATAACTAAATGCTAAGTTTAAAAGGAAGTAACTCTTCTCAATGGGCAAGTTTGTATCACGGTTAAAAGGAAACAAGTCCCAACTATCCAGAAACCTTAGAGTTAGCTTAACTTGGTTTTCAATTTTTGCTACTTCTAATCCCTGTCTTGCTCTGTTATTCAGGAGAATGTAAGCCTGGTTTTGCTATTCAGGCTATTTGCTGTTTGTGTCTTCTCCAGTCTTCAAAGGCTCCAGCACAATTAGTGTTATGAGGACTGCGCAGTTGCATATCATCCACCAGGAGCGATCCAGTGCCGGCAGCAAAACAGCAAGACAGAAGCGCAAAAACTCTTGCAGCTTTATCTGCAAGTCTGTACAGGGGACAGCTTTACATAAAAAACATAAGCCTGAATGTGCTGGACTGCTTCTTGCTTTCCTTCTGCTGCCACACTCACCTCCCATTCTGCTCAAGCAGCCAAGACACAAGAGGAGAAGTGGAGAAGAGCTGTTCAGCTCGCTGTTCTTGTGTTCCTGCAGGACTGCCATCCAAAGCAAACCAGCGGAGGCAGAACTGCTAATACGTGCACTTGCGCAGGCTCTTCAGAAGGCTTGGGGCAGCCTGGATTTTGACTGTGCTGCTTCTCTTTTGCAGGCACACAAAGTGGAAACATAACAAGGGCACATGACAGATATCCAAAGACTGGGTTTTATTCCAAGCTTTGTTTCTAAACCTTTGCTCGAAGTGTGGGCAAGTTACTTTGCGTCTCTGTGGTCCTGACCCATATTACACACCAAAATGTAGTATTTCAGGCTCCTTTGTTTACAAGTTTAAAACTGCATTACAAAGAGTGCTAGGTAAGTGTAACATAATATCCTAAATGAACTGCTTCACAAGAAAAAAGTAGATCCCAGAAGAGTATGAAAAAGCACAGGCACTTGTCACACTAGATTCTAGAGGCAATTTTAAGAGCAAAAGTAGACATATGCACGATTTGATGCATATTCTGTCATTTCAAACTGAGGTTGTGCATAATTTGATGCATATATTGCCTTTTCAAGCAGAGGATGTGTACACAACCATCTTATTCCTATACTGTAACCTTAAAATAAAAAAGAAAAATCTTAACAGTAATATCCTTCCCGTATCCTAATGCGTTTTAATATTTTAAATCAGTGGGTTTGACATGAGAGCTCTGTAGACACATTTATCATTCAGCTGTGCAACTATACTATAAACTGTCAACTCTTCATCACTGTCCACTTTGACAAATTACTCTCGCAACAGCATTTCCAAGTTATCCTTAGCAGCCAACACACCTCATAAATCCACATCATTGTAGTGTTATTAGAATTTCATTTCATGCTTGCGTTCCCAAACATTTAAGCTTTCAACCTCTGCTGCCGGGCATTAATCATGGAATTAATCATAGGACTGAGAATGCCAAATTTAAACTCAAGGTTAATAACATGCTCACCCAATATTAGTTCTACGTTCTGTCATGGGAGAACACTTTAAAAAAAAGTACAAGACCTTTGTCTGAAGTTCCCAAATATACACAGAGACTAATTGTACTGTTGTTCCATTATGAAATGAGAAGTTGCCCAAATTCAATATTGCCGCTTAAAGAAAAATTTCAAATCCCTTGACCCTAGAAAAAATAGGCATTTGGCCTCTGTAAATCTGCCTGCATTTTGCCCTGAGGATGAGCTGAAAAATCAATTATGAAAAAACTAACAGCATCAACTATGTTTCTAAAACTGATGATCAGAGAAGACTGTCACAGAAAATACTGTTATTTAACAGAAATGCAAAATAATAAATGTCATTTAAGAATATTAGATTCTCACATTCAGTTGACATGTATCCTCATTTTTAAGATACATCTGCATTAAAAACACGAAGCGCCATCTGGTTGACAGAATACTACTACGCAAATGTAACTCCGCTGATGCTAAAACATAACCTTTTAGTAGAAATGTAGATTAACTTCAGGTAATTATGAAACCATATCTCTAGCTTCTATGATAAATAAAAGGATAAATAATACAGTCATCCTGTATCTTTTCCTTCCCCAGCTTTATAGCCCATAAATAAATCAACACTTGGTAATAGCAATGGAATGAGTCAAATTTGTGATTAAACCCAGCCTGTTTTATTTCTTCAGATATGTGGTTTGGATACGCATTTAACTATTACTGCTGCTTAAAGCAATGCCCCCAAAAGTTCAATGACAGTCAACTGAGTAAATTAATAGCAACTGCTTTCGCTACAACCGAGTTACTTATATAACACTTACTGCTTTAATCTCAGATACATAATTAAAAAAACAGCCCCTCCCCCCAACTCCTGCAGAGACTATACAATTACTACTAGTTTGCAACTCTGCAACCATGCGGGCTCTCGCAGTTCTTTAAAAGGAGTAAGCCACTAGACATCAATACTACTTCCAAGATCAGTTGCTGTAAGTTATCATAATTGTACTAATAAGAATGAAGAGGCCAAGTGCCAATATATCTGCAACTTCACTCAAAAATATGACTTTCAGGTTTTTTTGTTTTCTGTTAACAGACTCGGCAATTCACAAACAGTATCCAAGCAGGAAGCGGCCGTGCTTCTTAAGAGGACGTACCATCTAGTTCCACTTTCCAAATTTTACATCCCAAAATGCCTCCCTATTACCACCTCAGGAGCTACATAGAAAACAACAGAAAGAGTCTTCAGAGGCAAGGATCTCTGACTGAATTCATACTTCAGTTAAACAGGATACCTAGTGTGGACTCCCTGCACAGTTGCTGTTTACATCACTTCAGTTATAAACATCAGAATTCTCCAGGCTGGAAACACTTGGAGGACTTACGAATAATAGCACCATACTTCATAATGATTCTGTTTTAATAGCTTTTTCCTCTTTATAGAATTTTTCTGAAGTTATTATTTCTTTTGAGAAAAGTTTGCCAACGGTTACCAAAATACTGACGCACTATGACATTCCCGTTCTGCAGATTAAAAGATTACTGACCTCACTGAGGTAAATAAAAAAGGAGCATGTGGACCCATCTACACCATAACTTGCGTAACAGGGATCTGATCGCCACATATCTTTCATCCACTGTAACAGAAAAAAAAACATAGTCTGTTACGTTTAATATAGGTAGCAACTCTATACTATTTCACACTGAACTCAAGAATAACAGGTGAAAGCTGCAAGTGACTATATCCAACCAGATAAACTCACAAATAACAAAAAAGGAATTTCATTAATATTTTGCAGCATAACGCATCTCTGCATTCAACTACCTTGGGGAAGTAACTACATAACAGGCGTGAGCACAGTTTCAACAAACTGGCAGCCAGACAAGCAGAGGCAAATACCAAAAGGAAAATATAATCAGAATCCAGGCATATGGGTGTGGCTGGAGTTGACTGCATTGCCCCCCCCATGTTACACTTGCTCTGGAATTTAACAGATCATTTCAGCTACCAAGATTAAAATCTGCCTGATTCCGCCAAGAATCTGTGATTTCTGCAGAAGCAATTAATTTAAATTCATGTTTTAATATTCAAACAATGTATTACATAGCCACTATGCAGCCAGTTTGCCAAAACGGATCAAAACACAGACCAGACATTTAATACAAATTTGGGGGGGGGGGGGGGTTTTTTAGTTTTTTTTTGGTTTTTTTTTTTTTTAAATACGATTGTCTAAGAATTTTACTTAGAGAAAAAAGGCAACATAATTTCACATATACTTTGGTAGTTATTTGTTTCAGAAATAAACTGTCATACTTGATAATGATATTTAAGTGTCCAGCAATTTTACTTTTGTCCCCCACTACTAAAACAGTATCCTTACATTTGAAATGTACCTTGGGGAAAAAAAAGCAAACCCCTCCATCTCTGCAGGTTTTGGTTTTTTGGTTTTTTTTGTTTTTTCCCTTTCCAACCAAAGTCTGATGGCTTTCAACATCTGGCCTTTCCAACTGGAAAGTATTTATTAGTAAAATACGGGATTTATGTAGAATCAAGCGTGAACCCCAAAGCTCTGGTAGCACACTTAGTGCAGTGCCTAGCTTGTGAGCAGAAGAGGCAGAATTCTTTTAACAGCAAAGGGGAAGGGAGGAACCGGACAGAGCTGTTGGCAAAGAGAGGAAAGAAGCGTAAACAAATGTCTTGCTGAAACAGAGACAGGACTGGAGTGAGGTACAGACAGAATCCCAGTCCTGGGGTAGGGGAATGCCAAATGACTCATAATGGGGAAGAAAACAGGGCTTTTCAAAAAAGAGAACAAAGTTTCTGAATAACAAGAGAGCATTCAAATAATAAGGCGTTTTATTAAATAATACAGCATTTTAATATAATATAGCATTTTATGCCTGTCTTAACAGGATGCCGCTTTACTTCTCTGCAGCAGTAGCATTAAAGGCTTGAGGTGAGCAGTGCTGTAGTGACACGCACTCCTAAAAATGCACTCTTTTCTTTTTTGACCCAGTTCTTGTTTTACACCATTGTCCGAGTAGTGAGCTCTTGCAACGTATGTTCAGTTTTTAACAGAACATAATAAGATTAAAAACAATTCAGTTACCTTTATTTTCCCTTCACAGTGAGGAAAACCATCCATAGGAGGCAGTTCACACTGTTCTTGGGCTCCATTTATGAGATCTAAAGAGAAACATAGACCATAACTGAATTTCATTTTACAGTTCTGACAGATAGCCTAATGAATCCTTCCTTTTATTTTCATGAATCCACAATCCAGACTGACTGAAGAGTCCTACTGTGTAATATTTGTTATAACATTAAAACTCAGTGTGCTCTTTTTTGACTGTAGAAGAAAATGGTTGCATAGATTTCCACTGCAAGTCAGAGCTGAAGTGCTGAATTACAAAAACTGGTCTATGAAGACTTAAACATTAAGTTAATCCATACTGAAAATATTAAAACGCAAAATATCTTCCTAATCAAAACCTGCGTAAAACTACTAAAATGCAACAATTTGTTTCTGACTGTCAAACATTTCTAAGATGTATACTGCTCTTAAACATGAAAACTAGATTTTCAAGTTCTTTATCACTTTATCAAATACCCATGATCTGCAACTTGGCATCAGATATATGACCCAGTTAATAAATGGTGCAATATGATCTAAATTTACAACTGAGTAGCACCACATCACATCTCATGAGGAAAATTTCCTATGGTCTCCCAAGAATTTTTTTTCTTTTTTGCCTATTTTAATATCTAATCATTCTAGATTTTTGCAACACATTAGAGAGTGTAGTACGGAGCAACACTTCTAGCCCCTGAGCCAAGGAAAAGGGAGCAGTTTTAAAGGACATTACCACATCAACTCCAGGATGGGACTTGCTTCTAAGAACCTAGAAGAAGCCTCTGACGCAGGCCTTTAAGGCAAGAAAAATTATTAACGTCGTGAAGAGATTCTTGCCAAAGGCAGCGGAGGATAAGGTTTTCAATTTAGGTAGTTCATCCCAGAGTTATCTAAATTATACCTGCATCATTTCTGGCTTTTCCCACAGGCAAGAATCATGATCATTAAAGCCAGCCATCCATCAACCCAGGAACACTTCATGCTATGGCAGATACAGTGCACAACTTCACCCAGAATATGCTAATTAGAGATCTCAGAAAAAAGAAAGGCTGCAGCACTACAATAGAGTAGGGACAAGATCAGGGGATAAAAGTTAGAATATTGTGTTATATACAAAAAACACCTCCTGATTTATCTGAATATTTTCCTTTTTTTTTTTTTTTTCCAAATAGTTTCTTTTTAAAGATAAAAACTTAAATGTGAGTGAAGCATTGCAAAATGAAATGGATAGGGAAAAAATAAT